AAAAAGAAAGAAAGAAAACTTTGTCTTTCATTTCGAAGATAAAATTTCTGTTTGATCCATTTGTCTCGTAAAAGTTAATTGACGACGACATATACGCGTGGATATAAGAGAAATTTATAGGAAATGAATATTCCTTTCGCTTAATTTGAGACTCTCGTTTAGTAGCGGAATCTTAAACTAAAGGATTCTGAAACTTGGACTGGCGCACAATACCAGCTGTTAATGACTCAATCGCTGCGCGATTCAATCGAACGAATGAATAGCGTCGAACGATTTCCGTGGGAGAGCCGCGCCGACTGATGCCGTACCACGCACGGTCCGGATCTACTATGTCGAACAAAGCGGTTTTCAGCCGCGCTGCCTGAGTTTTAAGGACCATCCAGCCGCCACTTCTTCGCTTCGAGGTTTATGCAAGCTCCATTTTGCGTGAATCATCGTTCTTCCGATCTTTTTATTCCAATTTTCGTTATACACTGAGGAAAAAAGCGAAAAATCCCGATTTACGGAGAACCGTTCGTTCCGTATATGGCAAAATTTGATTCCAGTTCAGTTTTTGAAATAATATGATGCGTACATTACGTTGCATCATGTACATTGTAGTTGTGTGTTTTTAAACTGTATTTATTTGTATTTATTATGAAACTACGTCATAATTAAGACGTTTTATAGCTTGTCTTGTGTGTATTGTTATAGAATACTATAATTCGCGCGTGTAAGACGATAGTGACTAGTTGTGTGTAACTCGTAATAATATTTCTAAATAGGTCTGCACAATGAACATATTTTTCCCTTCGACAATAATCTTAACACTTATGCATAAAAATCCGCAGTCTAGCTATTACTTACATATAAGTGAATACGAATGAATCATCCATCAAATTGAATTGTTCTTGCCTCGTACATTAATAATAGAAACTTCCGAACGGTTGAATTGAACGACGGCGAATGTATTGGAAAATATGGAGTAAGAATATAGGTTCAACAGTGCTTAAGGAAAAAAAAGAATTTCCGTAACATAGGCGAACTTTTCGAGAACCTCGGTTCCACGGGCTCGTTTCTCGCCAAAACTGGCGATCAATAATTACACACCGGTGTCTACGAAATCAAAACCCGATGGGAAACCTTCGCGACGAAACCGCAGTAAACCGTATCGCCTGCAGACGATTCGAACGCATCGATCGCAAACGCCTGTAGAATCTCGATTTTCCGTGGACGAGCGACCGTGGGATGCAGCATCAGCCAGCGTGTCCAGGTGTCGTGTGGACGGGGCTTTAGATCGGATCGCGGCGGCATGCGAGACTCGAATTCCGGACGTGGAGGAGACAACGCGTACCGGAAAGTAATCACGCATATACCAGCGTGGCCAGAGCTACAGAGAGAGGGAAAGGGAGAGAGAGAGAGAGAGAGAGAGGGTGGGAGAAAGAGAGAAAGACAGAGTGAGAGACAGAGAGGAAGGCCGATCGATTAGCCTGTATCCCGCGATACGTACGCCGCCGCCGCGCACCGCAACTACGTGACAAATATTATCGCGATCGACCGACCAGCTGCGTTTGATGTGGACGCGTTTATGAAATGCCGACACGCCGATAATCATGCGCGACCAGCGCCCAAGGCTAAATCCGATTTGCAATATTAAGCCGCTGGCCGTGTTCACCCCGCCGCGCAGAGAACCACCAGGAGAAACGAGAGTACGCGCCACCAAAGTTTTTCGTCCCTTGGCTAATTAGCCTGGCCGATCAAAGGGGTGGAAGAAGGAGGATGACGAGGATTGTACGAACGACACGTGGTCGAACGAGATCGTTGATAAAGTGAGGCCTCCTGTGCTGCCACCGACATTGGCGTGGTGGAGGATACGAAGAGAACTTGCAGGGGGCGGGTTGGACGTTGGTTGGTCGTTGGACGTTGAAATTGGATGGTTTTATGATTAAGAGTTAAGGCAGTTGGATGGGAAATTGAAGATCTTCCGTGATTGTGATTTGAAGAATCAAGACTTGTGAAAGATGTAAGAAGAATTTGTGAAAATTCTGAGAATCGAGGGATATTAGACGTTGAAACTGAAAAATTCTCGAGTATTAAATAAGAGTACTGGAAAACGTCGATCTGAGGGAACAATTTATGAGCACTGAGATTAAAGATGCTGATTGTCGATAAAAGAATTTTCAAAAATTGACGAAAAAAATTTGGAAGAAATTCGTGAAAAATTAATGAAACGGGAAAAATCTAAATCGCAATCCGACATTTCCGATACGAGTGAAGAATGATTGTTTAAGTGATAGACGAAAGATGATTGAACGTTGTGGAAAATATCACCGGTCCCCGATTATAAGCCGGGGAAAAAAAAAGTGACCTATCTATTCGATTCGCTATCTATTCACTTTGGTGAAACGATTAATTGAAATCGACGCCGATAACGACGCGTCGAGTGTTGGCTCGAAGCTCGATGGCGTCCTGGAGCTCCATTAGCCTCGAGTGTCTACGTTCGAATTCAATTTTTACCGACCAACGTGGTTTGGAATTTTAGTAAAGCTGTTCTTCAATCGTGACATGCATTTTTAAAAGAAAAAAAAGGTTCCTCTATATATTTGCTACAATATTGTTAAAAATAGTTGAATAATAGAAATTGGACACCCTTAACTTTTTCGCTGAAGTACCCTCGAAAATTAAAACCGCTCGCGGTAAAAATGATAGTAAAAAAAAATAAAAGCAGAAAACTACGACAAAAAAATAGATTTTCAACAAATTGCTCAATTACTAACTAAACTGCTCGATTTTGTAACAATAAAATGGAATACGCGTTTTAAATAGAAATTATACGTTTGTTGTGTAAAAATATTTTTTTACGACTATTAGAAAACAAACGCATACGTGAAACTCCACGAAAATGGTATTTTTAAATGTTATCAGCGGAGTATGGATTTTTATGAATTTATTTCTAGAAATTCGAGCATAAAATTTAAAAACATTTTACAGTGTAGATATATTCGAAATTTAAAGATATATAAAATTCCCAAATTACATTTCTCAGTTATTCAATGTTATTCATAAAATTTCATCATCGTTTAATCGTCAATATACTAAACATCCAAACATCAATAAAATAGTGAAAACATGCATGATATGGGAATTTAAACTCTTCAACGCCGAGTATCAAATACCAAAATTCTTAGGAAAAATTTAAAAAAAGAAGACTAGCGTCTATTGGAAGACTGTTCGACATAGAGAGTCCGACAAGAGCGAGTGTCTGACCGATCGCATCTTATTCTCCTGAAAACGAAACATCAGGCAATATGCTGGTCTCCAATAGCTGGGAGCACTGATCTTTCGCTCCAGTTACGAAAAAAAAAGCTTCGCGAGAGTCTGCCTCTCTGCCGTGCAAATTGGAGCACCGATAAACGTGGCTCACTCGATCAACCCCCTTTCCAAGGGGAACGTCTATTCCGGTAACTACGTTCTGCGACACGGAGACGGGTACACTCACCCCTCGTGCACGCTCTGCGATCGTCGAGAGCGTTTATACAAACTTAACTGTGCACTTTTCTCGATAACAGATAGTGTTTATTGATTTGTTGCAATTTTATTATCTTTCTGCTATTAACTTTCCTTCCTTTTCCCTGTTTTTATTCAAATCGTTAGATACGAGTGGTCGTTACGGATGTTTTAACGAAACGATTACCGATAGACTTCAATACATTATCAAGAGTTTGAAAATAGCAAGATTTTGTCTTTAAATTGTACTCGAAAGAGCTACGTGCTACTACACGAGTCTAAAAAATCAATTGTGAAATATTGAAAGGTTCTTGTAAGATTAGAAGGTTTTAAATATAACTCGTCTCGTCGTTAATTATGAAACTAGAAACAATTTTCGAAGTCGAGTATCACTTGAAAAGATGGGTTAGGATCTTCGTGTTTGCTTCCAACTTCATCGAGCCTTCATCATCGCTGTAATTCGAGATCTCTTTACGAAATACAGCTCTCAAATACGTGGCAAGTTTTCACGAGTGTGTCATTGATGTATGCGATGACGAACGCAATCGAGAAACTAGATTGCGATTAATTCCCTGGTTACAAATGTTTCCAAGTTCTGTTCAGTCTTCTGAAAAAAATGGAAGTTCCGACTGTTTCACAAACATAAGCTATCATTCTGCCAAAACTAGAAAGTAGATTAAACTTTGCCAACAACGGAACTTTACGTAAAGAGATTCCAAAATGGGTCATCGATTACCGTTCACCTCAATCTCCTTTACATCATCTTAATCCTCAACCTAACCTCGTCTAACTTACCATCCTCACACAGTCATAATCTCAAAACACGTGTTTCCTTTTCTCTTCCAGAAACCCATTGTTTCGGCTTCTTGTCAATGAATAATGTGATGAAATAATAAAGTCAAATAAAAATCAATTTAACGTCAAACCTGAGACCACATACATGTTGCAATTACGAACATAAATCCGAACACCGATCTATCATCTAAACTTCAAGAGGAAGATAGGGAAGCAACGATGTCACCACGAAATGAATGGCCATCGCAGCTCAATACGCTAATTCCGGAGCTAGCTATTTTATTACCAGAGAGAGAGAGAGAGAGAGAGAGAGAGAGAGAGAGAGAGAGAGAGAGAGAGAGACAGAGACTAAACCTTCTCCGTGGTACTTGGTGACTGTACATCCGGCACTGGAGACCGTCTCTGTCCTGCAACCGTTCGCGAGTATTCCCTCCTCCACCCACCTCCTGCCGCCCAGTTTCTCCTGGTGGCACTGCTGTATCTCTCTCTTTCTCTCTCTCTCTTTCTCTCTCTCTCTCTCTGCGATTCTCTCTTTCCGACTCTCTCTCTCTCTCTGGCTCGGTTCCCGTGGCGCGCGCTCGCCCGTGTTCCCGTTCTCTCACTCTATCCGCCCCCGCCCCCGTAGCATGCCAACCAACGAGCCGGGGCCGCTTTCGCTTTGTGCGCGCCGGGGCGGCGGTACATCAAAGCCTTCTAGTTCCCGCTCCGGCCTTTGACGGCTGCGTCGCGGCCGCTCGCTCAGTCATCGCTCGGTAGGCGAAGCCGGCACGCCGTGGATGAACGGTCGCGCGCGCGCCAACGCTCGCCGAATCCGTGGGATTCGCAGGCCACCGCTGGCCAGGAGATTCCTCCGCCGCGGGAACGCTATCACCGTGGATCATGTCGCCCCGTGGCAGCAAGTGCACGCGCCTAAACGCCAGGGCCACGTCGAAATCGAGATCTACCGCAGTTGTTCGCAGCGCTAATAGTCATCAGCAAACGAACCATCATCATTATGAGCAACGACATCGACAAACGGAAGAGGAGGAGACGGAGGAGGCCGCGTACCTGGCCAACGAAGAGGAAGGAACCGTTAAGTGTGACGAGTCGGTCAATGGAAGTAACGCGACGATAACGACGACGATAACGACGACGACGACGACGATGACGACGACGACGACGACGACAACGACGACAACGACGACAACGACGACCAGAACGAGCAAGTCTGCGGTGGCAGCGTGCGAGGGTCGATCGTCGTGGGCGGCGCGCATGCGCCAACCCCTGGAGAGTAGCCTCGAGCCCCGTGAAAACGGCACCCTGGTGCAACGATGGCCGACTAGCAGGCAACGCCGCCGCGATCGGATTCGAGCTGTCGCCGAGGACGATCCGAACCAAGGAGATGGCACCGTGTCCTCGTCCACCTCCTTGTCTTCGCCAGCAGCGTCCTCCTGCACGGACGTGTCGTCCAGAAGGTCTACCTCACCTCCGTCAAGCATCTCGTCGCCAGCACATTCCACCTCGTCCACCTCCACCAGTGCTGTCTCCCGGGAGAATAATTCGCGCAAGGACAACGATCAAGGAAATGATCGAACGAACGAAGAAACGAGTACGGTGGACACGAGGAAGTACAGTAACGAGGTACATCAAGATAGAATCAGAAAGAGGAAACAAGAGAGACAATGTTCGATCAGAGCACGTAGTGTCAGAGAGGTGATCACGGAGAAATCGTCGGCCACGACGGCGTCAACGTCGTCCACTTGTGTTCCTACTTCTTCCATAGTCTCTTCCTCCTCGCCGTTCTCCTCTTCTGTCTCCACTACCTCCGACAAGGTCACCGAGCAGTCGACACAAGGCAATTTAAGAAGCTGCCCTCCGATCCCTCATTCGTCCGTTATCGAGAGCCTGAGGAACGCTCTGGAAAGCTACGACCGCAGTAGAATCTACCTCGCACATGTGTCCTTCCTGGATTGGCGGGACCTGCCTGGACGACGACGCGCCACCTCCACAGCTGGCGATTCCGAAAGGGTGTGGGTGGTGGGGGCGGCGGATCACGAAGGCCACCACAGAACGCGACTGTTGGTAACCGGCCGCCATTGGCGACCACGTTGCCTCAGACGGGTGAACATGCTCAGCCAGCCTGTCATTTACGCCGGTGGTGGCAGAGGTTCTCTCACGGTAGATCTGTTCCTCTGGTGGTTCCATCGGGAGTTCGCCGTGACAGCGATGGCCATGCATCCTGATGGTGCTGTGTTGGTCGCTGAGACCGCGGATTACTTGCCACCGGAGGCTGACTGCGTCGCTGCCGATGGACTGGTCAGACTGTTTGTCGTACCGAAAGATTGCCTCGAGATGAGAATCGTGGTACGAGAGTTGCGAGTCCGGCTGGCAACGGGAGTTCTTTCTAGAGCCTGTTACGGTGTCTATCGGAAGATCTCCAATTCGAACAAAGATACCGATTCCCTAACTGCGTATCTGAGAAGATTCACCTTGAAAGAAGCTTTCGCCGATCTTCACAGAGCCTGGTTAAGCGTCAGATCAGAGACGTTCGCGAGAAGTTGGATCCTGCCGCGAGATCGCGACGATTCCTCGATCGGTTGTTCCAGCAACGTGGTTGGTCTTGCTTTGTCCTCGCGGATACACGTCGCTTCTGATCAGGAGGAGGACAGGATGCTTCTGATCGAGCTGCAAAACGTCGCGCGGGAAGTGGGTCTGGAGGTCAGCGACGACGAACTGAGCAAGTGGATCCTCGAGGACGAGAGTAACAACAGCAGCAGCAACAGCAACAGCAGCGAGGCTTGGTGCGTCAGGAAGAAGGAGCTGGAAGAGGATCATTGCCGCGCGGTGAAGATCGAGGTGGAAGAGAAGTGGGCCGATTACGAGGGCGGGAAGCAACAAGGGACAGACGAGGAGGACGACGAGGAAGAGGAGGAGGATGAAGACGAGCCTACCGCGGAAGAGACCGTCGGTCTACTGTCGAGGGTGCTGACTTGGATGGAACGGGAGCCTCTCGATCCAGGACTATTACTCGCCGTCAGATCGATGCGCGATACCGCCGCACTCATGGTAAGCACCGACTGATAAGAGACAACCACTCGAGGTATCGATCGTCGCCGCGAGACTCGTAAACTCGCTGGGAGTTTCAGGGTGTGCGACCTTGCGAGCCTCGCGCGCCGCGAGGCTAGATTGAACTAATTCTCTTCCGGCTGTTCGGCTGTTCTCGGCAGACGAGAACGAAAAGAATGAAAAAGAAAGAAAGAAAGGGATAGAGAGAAGGGAAAAGGGACAAGAAGGGATGAGACTCGTCGCGCAAGAGGACGCTCAAGGGCCACTCGAATTCGGCGATACGTCGTCGAGCCGGCGAATGGAAAAGTCGAACGGGAGAACGAACCCTCGAACGTTCGAGGAGCGAGCGCCATCGCCGCTGCCGCCTCCTCCGTCTTTGCAAATTAATGCTCGAGCTCGTCCTCGATAAGCGCGCCTTTCCCCCCTTCGAGAGTTTATTGAATTGTATATTATATTTCCTCCTCGACAAGAAGAACGAGGGCTTTTTAGTCCTTCGTGTCCTCCTCGCCGATGGAAGAAGAGGGACTCGTCCGATACCGTCAAGGACAACGATGCTAATGTCTATGTTAAATAGGGAGGAACGGAAATGGTACTCGACCGAGGAAGGGGGGGGGGGGAGAGGAGGCTCCGATCAAAGAAACGGATACTATCTTTGTTCGCGGTGGTGGGAAGGTTCTGCTAAATGGGGATGGTTTCGACGATACTGGCTGATCGTTGTTTGAATAACTGATAACTTTACAGTCGCCACTTGATCAATCGAAGATTCCTCGTTTTTAGGGATCAATTATGTTATTAGGTCTTCTTGTTTCTTGATATCTGCGATTCTTTTTTTTTTTTTTTTACGCTACTTCGATTACTTTTTACTCTTCATGTGAATATGATTCGAACGAATTTTTAATATTTCACATTCCGATGTTCCTCCAACGACGTACATGACAGAAAGACAATTTCGTTTGATCGATCTTCTCCTTTTTCTTCGTAACTCGTCGACGTCTTAAAATTTCGAAATTCAGTTAGCAGAGCAGACGACGCGTGTGATCGATCAAACGGGATAGCGAGGAGAGTTGGAGATAGGGAAAAAGAGATCAATTTATGTCGTCTCACATAAACACGTGTCGATGCCTTTCGGCGTATCAATTAATTAATTGATATCCCCGGGCAGATTGCTAATTACCTTGCTTCATTAACGAAGCATTAATCAACACGGTATTAATTAATTACTCGATAACGATAATGCAACGTCGTCACGCAAGGTACGCTTGTACGGCATACCGTGACAAAAACTGACGCCGAATATATATATACTTGTTTCGATTTCACGATACCCGTTCACGCTCTAACCCTTTCTCCATTTGATTTATAGGCGAGCAAGATGGGCCTGGCGGGTACGCATCCGAGCGGTTTGCCCTTCTTCTGCCCCAATGGGGACCACCTGACTCAACCACCGCCTGCTCATATGGGAATCCCACCATATGGGACGCTCGATGCGGGCAAAGCAGCCGCAGCGGCAGGTGAGTACCTAAATATCACCTTTAAATTGAATATCCCGACAGGTTCAACGATGATGTCTTCGTTTATTGTTTCTTCTTTTCTTCTTTAATTTTCGTTTTCACAGCGATACGCTGAGAATTTCGAGGGGAATAAAGAAATCCTTAATGAAATTAGTAGTTTAAATGAGGATTCAATTCATTAAGAATGAATAGTAATAATTTTATAATAATCACGACATTATAATTGGTTAAATTTCATTGGTCTAAATTTCATAAAATTATAGGATCTAAAGTGGAAGATGTAGGTTCACTTTAAATATTTATTGGAAAGGAGTCGATTCACACTCGAGTTTGTGAAACATTCAATTCAAATTCAAATTCAATGCAAATTTAAAAGAAATTCAAATTCAAATTTCGAAACATCGACTTTGCATCTCAAAAAACTCGAATTTAAATTTCAAAGATTGTAATTTACATTTAAAATATTCGTATTTACATTACAAAACATTAAATACAAGATTTTCGATTCGAATTTAAATTTCGAAAATTCACCTCAGAAACTTGTAAAAATTTATGCTCAAGTTACAAGAATTTAACTTTAATCTTCAAAACGAAAGAAAAAACCTAGCAAGATTACGCTAATTTTACAAATGCAATTTGAAAAATTCAAGTTAAAACTCCCGAGAATAGAAAAACTAATTTTGCAAGTGCAGTTTATTAAAAAGTTCAAGTTTAAATCTTGAAGATTTCAAAAACTAAATAGAAATAGAAGAACTTTGTTGCATTGTTGCATTTTAAGAGTGCAACGTGACACAAAACTAATTTTAATTCTAATCGAACGTGAAGTGACAGCGAGCATTGGCACCTTTACTTCTTGATTCTGCAAGATAGTCTTGAACTATCGACAACTTTTCACAGAACGTACACAGAGTGGTTCCACGCCTTACTATCGGTTGAATCAATAATTCTTTTACAAAGTTAAACCGCTAGTGTCGGCTCAAATATTGACAACCCTCTCAAATTGTAATTGATGGAATACTTCCCTCGTAATAGAACGCCCTGTAATAGAACAACTCTTCGCGTATCATTTCACTGTATCGATCCGTGCAAATATTAATATCATCCCTGTCATATGCGAACTGTATAAACAGGTTTTGTTTGTGGCTTGTCTCGGCTAACAATAAGCAACGGAACAATTCCGCTTGAACTGCATCCAACGTTTAAAATAGAATCACTGAAACGAGGAGCTTTCATTCCGAAACGCACAATTCTCGATTTAATATTCAAATTATACGGAGATGTACATGTTATCCACTTTGAAAATAAAATCGTTCAAACGGGGAAATTTAATTCGTGGTTTCAGTTCAGATAAAAGAAAAATTCTAAATTCGCATAAACGTGTTGTCAATTATTTTAAAGAAACACTTCTCTCGACACTTTCCAACATAATTCTATGTCCGATCAGACAAATATAAAAGGAAAATCCTTTGTTTGGAAACCAACCAACGCACAACCTTCACCTAAGTAATAAAACGATCCGCAATTTTTTTCCAAAAAGAGAACAATCTTTTCTCAAGAGCCAAGCCAGATTAGCTACGCAGTGTCCTTTGGCTTTCGAGGCGAATTAAAACTCGTCTGTGTATCTAGGTGGTCTCGCGATTCTTGGTGGTCGTGCAAACATTGATATTCCTACGGGGTTCTAATTGAAGGAATATTTCTTATCGAGTGAAGGGGTCGCCCGATGCGAAGGCCCGAACTCGCAGGGAGAAATATGGAGAAAGTAGGAAGAGACCGTGCGTCCCCAGAGAGACAAAGGAGAGAGCGTAACAAAGAGGAACAGAAGGAGAGAGAAAGAGAGGGAGGGAGAGACGGAAACGGAAATGGTGGTGGGATAAGAGAGAGAAGAGAGGTTCACGAACTGGCGTCAAGTAGGAGAATAAGAGGAGGACTCACCATTAGGCTAATCAGCCAGGCATGCAGCCTCCCTCTGGCGTCGGGTCAAGGGGGTTTCAACCCGCCTCTCTATTTCTACAGCTTCTCTTCTTCCTACCCTCATTGCACCCGCCCCCGAGACCACCTCCCCTAGCCTCTTTCGGGAATCCCTCGCTATCAACTCGCCAGCCAATGTGGATTAACAGTCGATGACCGATGTATCTTCTCCATGATGTACCAACAGCCTTCGTAGATGGGGCCGGTTACAGTGGTTACAAAAGATATAAAGACACACCAGTGTATTTATTCTTATTCACACCAGCGTATTTCCATTGGAATTTTTGTGCGATAAAATATTGGAAGTAGGTACAGTATTTAATAGATAAAACGAATATTTATGTACGTAGGTTCCGTACTCTCTTAATTATTTTGATAAAAATATGAATAATGAATATGCATTAGTGACCGCAATTTAATCACAGCTTTTGCATATTAATTAATTAAGTCCTAGTATATTAAATTTTGTATACTAGCGCTTTTGTATAATATATAGAATTTAATTGTAAAACACTTCATTGAAAAGTAAGGGTGTATGACAATACTTTTTGTAACCACTGTGTATTAAATATTTCGTATATGAATAGAAAAATATCCAGAGAACTAAGAACATAATTTCTCTAGTAAGACAAAATGTTTCGAGCTACACCATTTGTCCCTTTCTTTTTCCTTTCTATTTTCACGAAAATAAGGTTTAGAAAATTAACTATAAATTTTGATGTTGATACGAATTTTTAAGGAAAGCTAAGAGTAATTATCTTCTTCGTGTATAGTTAAGGGAAAATACCCCTTTCTTCGTGTTTCACAAAATATATATCCTAATTAGGATTATCACCTTTCGTTAAACCATATCTACTATTAACTTCAGAATCATTCTTATCCTTTGATTCCCTCCCAGAACCACCTCGTCTCTCCTCCGATTCCCATTACGCTCCATTATCCTTACAATACGCTCCTCTTCCGTTCTCCCTGAAACTAAAATCGCCGAAGGAGAACGATTCGAATTCGGTTCGTCTCTTCCCTTAAAGCTATCGTTTCACCTACACCGGACAAGGACGGAAAGAATCGAGAGAAACAGAGAGGAGAAGAGCCAACCTGGAGATTCTGGACGTGTTTGCGCGCGCGCTATCTTTCTCTCCTCTCCTTCTGCCTCGGGCCTATCTCGCTCTCGCCACCCTCTGCTCACCCACGTCCCCTAGGTCCCTGGAATATGTAGATGGGGTTGATAGCGTTTATGCACGACTACGAGTTCGTACGGCGGCTCGGGTTCTTTGTCTTGCAAACGAGCGAGCATTTTGTCCCCACCCCTTTCTCCTCCTACACTTTCTCCACCTCGTTCCTTCCCCCTAGACTCGAGTTCACCCTCGCTCTCCTCTTTTCCTCTCCTCACCACCGAGAAAATCTTTCTCTCTCTCTCTCTCTCCCAATCTCTCTCTCTGTTTCTCTTCTAGGGAGTTCTCGGCGCTGTTCAGCCACCACCCACTCACTCACCCGTTCTCTCATGCTACGCAGCACCCGACCGAGAGCACCGCCGCCACCTCTCTCGTTCAACCCCCTCTCTTTACTCCTCTCTTCTTCCTCGTGTTCCTCCTATGTCTCTTCATCTCCTTGTTTCTCTCCTGCTTCCCTCTTCGTTCCTTTACCGTATCTCTCTCTCTCTCTTTTTCTGTACGTATGTATGTCTGTATGTTATTCACCATGTCTATCTTCCTTCAACATGTCGGTTTCCAGATTTTCTCGCTTTGTCCCGCCATTACATCTTTACGTGTCCTCTCCCATACGGTTCGTAACTGCGCGTACATGTTACTCGCCACGTCCGTCTTCATCTAACATGCTGGTTTTCAACTTTCCTCTCGCTTTATTCCACGTTCCGTTTCTCCGTGTGTCCTCTCTCGTAAAGTTGGCATTGTAGGCAGTTGTTATCTATCCCCGTTCAACTCGTCGGTTTCTCCTACTTCCCTCTCGCTTTGCTCCACGGTCTGCTCCTCTCCGCGTGTCCTCTCTCGAGGCACGATTCGAGAGTTACCAGCGTTCGAAATCATCCCCCTCCGTTCTCTCTTCCTGTCGAGCCGCCCCTAGCTCTTTCTCGCTGCATGTTCTCGCTTCCAGGAATATATTTCTAATTAGCTCCACTTTTCCATCTCCGCCGCTTGTTTATTTCAGGATTCCACGGAACAGAGGAGATAGGGTGGGGTTTAGGATAGGATATCGGAGGGTCGAGAGCGTCAAGCCCCGGTTCCACCATTGATCCGCTTAATTTCTCTCTTCTCGCGCCACCCTATCACATAGACGAAGCTTTCCCTTTTAAGTTTTCTCACTTTTTCGTAGTCCTTCTGTCGATTCGAGCTTCCGTCGCGATTATCAGCCGCCTTCTGCCACCTTTTGATAGTTTCGTGTCTGCTGGTTATAGATGGCCAATTTTCGTGTTTAGTGGCCGATTTACTTAGTTTGGTTTGAATTTAAACTAAGTTGTATAATTGTGTCACAGAATTACGTGTAACAGAGTTATTATGTATTTGCAAATTGTTCTCAAATTTCACTCCAGTTAGTTGAATAGTTTTCATTAATGGCGCTTAAGGGAGATTCAATATTGTTGAACACTTAACGTTTCAGAATAATTATTAATATTTTATAACCTGTATCAACTTCGTACCTTTCATTAAATCCCGAAATTCTGTATAAATGTATCCACAATAGATTTAAACAATATGAATATTGATATTGATGTTAGTCCTACATTTCTCTCTTGCCTAAGTCTCTAATTTTCTCGCACACAACGATTCAATCTAACTTTGCAAATCTCTATTGAAAAATATCCCTCTGACTTAAACTAACTTTGAAGCTTTAACGCTTTTGGTCATTAAATCCTAAATAATTTTTGTAATTTTACGAAATTTATAGAAATTAAAATTTGCACAAATAATTTTACGACGAATTATTGCCTGAACCTTAATAAATTAATAGCATTCGTACTTAAAACCAACTTCAAATCTGTCACGCGTAAACGTGTTCTCAAATACCGTAAATAGTTA